CTGATTTTTTGATTTATTGTAGAGATGAGATCTCGCTGCCCAGGCGGGTCTCAAACCCACGGGCTCAGGTAATCCACTCACCTCAGCCTCCCAAGGGCGCAGGATTACAGGCTGAGCCACCGAGCCCAGCTACCTTTTTCATTTTTCAAGTGGGAAAACTGATAACCTGAGAAAATTAGTATTCACATAGCCAGTTAGTAACAGCTTTTCTATTAATAACTTCCAGCACAGTCCTTTCTCGTTTTCACACTACCTTTTCAGCAACCAGATTTCATTTAGCCAACAGAGGTTAATGAAAAGTTTTGTTCACAGCTCGAGCTAATCCAAGATATGGGGTTCCATGTTATTTGCTGAATGAAATGGATGCAGCTAACATTGAATTGCAAACAAAGAGGTAATTTTAAATTACTTTTAGTTTGAATAGCATTTCAGGGGAATAAAGATCTAATTTCGACCTTGGGTATTCACTAATGAAAATTAAAGAGAAAAAAAAATAGTCTAGTTAATACCATTATTTGTTGGCTACTGAATGTTTACAATGAATGTATCTTTTACTTTGAAATTATTCTGAACTAAATGATGACACATAAAACGGCCACTGCTAAGTAGGGATCAAAGACTAAGAAGACTAGAGAAGTCAGTGAGCACATAGCTGGGCTAAATGAATTGTATCCTGGCCCTGCCAGATTTTTCCCTTGAACATAACAGAGCCTGCCATTAAAATCACCCCTCATATGTAAGTGGTTGTGGAGAACTAGCATGTAGTGACAGAGGACCAGAGTGAGAAGATTTTTGAAAGGAAGGAAATACAGATTTTACAAACCATCAGGTCTAATGTTAATCTTGGGGAAAAGCCTATAATGGATTCTTACACGGATGGTTTGTAAGAACTTGATGATCTCAGCATTCTCTTTTGGGGCCTGACATTTAGCCACGTGTGGACCTAGGTGGCTAACTATGTAACAGGGATGTGTTTGACATTTTCATCATTGCCTTGGAGCTCAGGGGAAAAAAAAGTACATGAGTGACACAAAATCAAAGAAACTCAACAAAAAACAGGACACTAAAAAGATGAAAATTTAACAGAGTAAAATATCTTAAGTCCAAAAAATAACCTGCATGAGTGGTCTGGACTATCAGTTGGTATTAAAACGAACAGGACAGCCTGAGGAGTTTTAGTCAGCACCAAGGTCTTTAATGTGGTCATGCTCACTGGTCACATTAATAGAATTGTCTCTGAAGTGCCTGAGTCATGGTGATGAACCTCTTTCCAACTCTGCATTGGCCAGAGTCTACCTAGGGTAATATGTTTGGCACCATGCTTCAAGTCAGCTGAGTGGATTCAGAGAAGAGCAATCAGCCCAGGATGCTGCTCAGCACATTTAACCTGGAGAATACAGACTCAGAAGGATCATTCTAACAGCTTCAAATATTTCATGGGATAATCTGTAGAGTCCGGTGAAAGTAAGGATGAAATTGGTAAACCTGCCACTTAACAATTATATGAGCAGGTTTCTAGCATTTTGTTCATAGCTATAATATAATCTCAGGTTTAGAAGATCTCAAGTGTCAGCATTTGTTCAGATAAATAGACATTACAGCCTTCATTAAAACAGTTTTCTTTTGGAATTCATGGTGGCAATTAGAACTGAAGTTTTGTTATCTATTAAAAAACTAGTGACTCATTTTAGCACATAGAAGAAACATGTTATTAGGTAAGATGGATAATTTATTTGTATTATAAATACAAATGTTTTATTTGAGATGAAACAATGTCTGTTATACAACAGTATTTATATACATTTTGTGCCTCTTTAAAGGGCAGAATGTGATTCTGCAAACAATAATTTTGAAGTACATCTCCACCTGGGCCCTCAATATCATTTCTTCAATGGGGCTTTGCACCCACTAGTCTCTCAAACAGAATGTGTGTGGAATCTGACCTTTGATAAAAGAAAAACTTTAGGAGATCTTCGACAGTCAATATTTCAGGTAATATAGCTTTACTTTTTCTTGATGTAGCCATCAAGGTCCTTCTCCAGCTAGATTCTCCATTTCCTTCTGTTTAGGGTACCTCTTTCTTTTTCAAAGCTGCTTAAGAAAATCTTACGTCAGTCACTTCATAGAGGGATGACTCAAGTATTTTCCCCTACTTTTATTTATTTATTTATTTATTTTTGAGTGGAGTTTCACTGTCATCCAGACTGGAGTGCAGTGGCCGCTCCCGGCCACTGCAGCCTCGACCTGCTGGGCCCCGGCAATCCTTCCACCTCAGCCTTCCAAGTAGCTGGACTACAGGCACATGCTACCATGCCCGGCTAATTTTTTTGATTTATTGTAGAAATGAGGTCTCGCCTGCCCAGGCGGGTCTCGAACCACGGGCTCAGGCAATCCACTCACCTCAGCCTCCCAAAGGCATGGGATTACAGGCTGAGCCATCGAGCCTGGCTCCCCTACTTTTAGAGAGAATTTTCTACACAACTCCTACTAGCAACTTTTCAGGTGGAGAATCAGGCCTGGTATTTTGTATTTGGGGAAAAAAAACAGTATACAGTTGTCTCTGTTTTAGAAAATAGATGAAAGAGAATTATTTTTCAAAGAAAGTAAAAGGATAAAAATGAACATGTTACTTAAAACCAAGAACTACTAAACAAATCAAAGCAACTAATTTTGCACCCTCTAGTATAGAATAGCATTATAAATAATATTCTTAAATGAAGGAAAAACCTACTAGTCTATAGAAAAACACACAGTTTTGTAGTCTCCAAATAATTTATCTAATTGTGTTTTAACAATGATACTAGCAACGATATTGTTCTTTATTTTACTTATATAGCATTCATATAAATTATGCAGTTTGGTTCTTTAACCTCATATGGGCAAGCTAGTGCCATTTTGAAGATGAGGCATTTGTGATTTAAAGAGACCTAGTGTCTTGCCCATGGTCAGAAATAGTTGTGGAACTCAGGCTCCATTCCTGGCCTCCCTGCTCTTCATCTAGGGATCCTTCCTCTTTATTATTATTATTTTTTAAATTTATCATAGAGACAAGGTCTCACCAAGTTGCCCAGGCTGGTCTCGAACCCCTGAGCTCAGGCAATCCTCTCGTCTCAGACTCGCAAAGTGCTGGGATTACAGGCTTGAGCCACCACACCTGGCAGGGGGTCTTTCCTCTTAATCACAATCCTTCACCCCACACTACTTCATGATCAAGGAAAAGGGAGATAGAAAATGTAAGCTTTTTGGTTTTTCTCCCAGAAATAAATGAATTTTCTAGAAAATTGTATTGTCAAAATTATTAGCTTTCTTTTAATTTTCTTCTTCTAAGAAAAACAAACCAATTTCTTTTCTAACTGTAGTTGATTTGAATATTACTTACCTGTTAGGGATTACTTACATGTGTTAGGATTTCTAAAATTGTCTAATGTTTCTGGACTTTTTCATTAAAAGTTTATTTCTAGCCGGGCTCAGTGGCTCAGCCTGTAATCCTGCGCTTTGGGAGGCTGAGGTGGGTGAATTGCCTGAGCCCACAGGTTTGAGACCCACCTGGGCAACTTGACGAGACCTCATCTCTACGATAAATCAAAAAATATTAGCCGGGCGTGGTAGCTCGCACCTGTTGTTCCAGCTACTTGGAAGGCTGAGGTGGAAGGATCGCTGAGCCCAGCAGGTCCAGGTTGCGGTGGCCGGGAGCGGCCACTGCACTCCAGTCTGGGTGACAGAGTGAGACTCCAACTCAAAAATAAAAAAAAGTTTATTTCTGAGTCAATTCTGGCACTGTTGATCTAGGTGGACTTGGAGATCTGAACCTGTCGGATGACATTTCAAATAGAAAGATCTTATTCACTTCATAAGTTTTAGATATATTCCAATCCGTGCTTTTTGGTGTTTTAAGTGTGCACCTCTACTATTATCTTAGAAGTCACTGACAAGAGGCTGTGAAACTGACAGAGTAAGCTAAGCACTTGTAAACATGCAATTTCTATTTAAGAGAAATGCCTTATAGTATTGTGGAGAAAAACTAGATAGGAGTGACCTTTATGATGATATTATTTTGGTGAGATCACCCACAATACCCAGAGTCTCAGATCTAGAATGTTAAAGAACAAACCCCTGGTCATCTGTTGAGTAAACTGGTAACACCACTTTTTAAATTTGCAATGGAAGACATTTCTTTCAGATAACTAGAATATGAGTGTATACTAGAGTCAGTGCTGCTTTTCCTTGAACAGTGCTAATTAAACAAATAACTCTTGCTTTTTTAGACAAAAATTCCTATGCTGGTATGCTGATCAGTTTGCTTTCTGATAAAAGTGATCTACATATAAATTAAGTAGAATTGTCTAGACGATTTTTGTGCTCCTTGTGTATGCTAGAATTCTTCAATTGATGATGGAGAAGATTACATCTTTGGATTTGACTAATTTAACAAAGAGTGGTGTCTTATTTCCAACTTTTTGATTTCGGGTAAGGGTGGGAGTATTTATTTGCTTGCTATTTACTTGCTGCCTGTATAATCTTCATATGTAAATTATTGGCACAACACCTGAAAATGTGATATATACATGTGATTTTTTCATTGTTCTCTTTTCTTTTATTAATATTCCTTAGCTGTTAGAATGTTGGGAAGGAGACATGGTTCTTAGTGTTGCAAAGCTTGTACCAGCAGGACTTCACATTTACCAGACACTTGATGGTAAGATTAATGTGAAAACACAGCAACTCACTTTATATATTTAAATTTTGTGGGGTTCATCTGTGATTTTCCGCTCTTTGTTAATCCTTCCCCACCTACTACTTCCTTAAGTACATAGATTATCTTCACACTGTCAGTTTTCAAAATAATTTTAATATAATTTATACAATTGATAAGGCATCCAAGTTATGTCCTGTGTGAAATTTTTCTAACATGGAAACATTTTATATATTCTGAAATTAAGGCTACCACTCTACCAAAAATTTCTTTAAAGACTTTAGAAATTTTTTTTCTATTACAACAATTGTTGAATAAAATGCTTTGAAACCATTTGAATCGTATTTATATGGCTTGATTTTCTGCCCAATTCTCAGCTTCAGATTTTATAGCAAAACAAAGAAAAATACTCTGAGAGTTTGCAAGTATTTACTTCCTTTAAATAGCAATAAAATAATAACAATAGCAGCAGTAACATTTAATTAGAACTTCACTATGCCAAATACTGTAATAGGTGTTTTATGTGAATTATCTAATTTGATTTTTCACAAAATTATTTTTTCTTCATTTTGTAAATGACAAAACTGGAGCTGAGAAACTTGAAGCACACAAGGATACAGCTAATTAGTAGTGGAGCCTAAACCTAACTCCACTCCACAATGTCTGTGCCTCAAGTATGCTTGTCCTTTGTGTTAACTCTCTTGTCCTGCTACCATGTCCAGAAAGCATAAAATATCAATATAATAAAAATAATTTCTGTTTTATTTTATTTTATTTTATTTTTTGAGTTGGAGTCTCACTCTGTCACCTGATTGGAGTGCAGTGGCTGCTCCCGGCCACCGCAGCCTCGACCTGCTGGGCTCCGGTGATCCTTCCGCCTCAGCCTTCCAAGTAGCTGGAACTACAGGCGTGCACTACCACGCCCGGCTAATTTTTTATTTATTGTAGAGATGAGGTCTCCCCAAGTTGCCCAGATGGGTCTCCAACCCGCAGGCTCAGGCAATCCACTCACCTCAGCCTCCCAAAGTGCAGGATTATAGGCTGAGCCACCAAGCCCAAGTTTCTTTATTCTTAAAAACAATGTTTTCAAACAAATATTTCAGTCTCAGCTTTTTCTTTAGCTAAATTGTTTTTGATGATCAAAATGAATTGCTCTCACTAGTGATCTCATCTTTCTAGGAGATGAACTGACACTTTGTGAAACAGAAATTGCTGATGGGGAAGACATCTTTGTATGGAATGGGGTAGAGGTAAAAAAAAATTACTGAAGAAATATTCATGATAATTTTGGATGTTTTAAAAGTCATTGTAATGAAATTGTATTCAGCATATGTGAAGATAATTAAATATTAGGAAACTGCTGAAATGTTCAATAAATGTTAGGTGCAATCAGGGCCAGTTTTGTGTTAAAGAGGCATTTATTAGGTACCTCCATTATGCCAGGCTTTGTGTAAGATGCTAGATCAAAGGCTAATTAGTGAGTCTATGTCCTTCAGGCACTCGTTGTGTGACTAACTGCACTCTAAGTGCTGGAGGAGGGATCTGGGCATGGTACCTGTGGGAATTTGGAAGGGAATGAGTGGCTACTACAGTAAGTCCACTACATGCAAACCTTTAAGTTGCGAACTTTCAAAGATGTGAATATGTGTTTGCATGTCCAATCACAAAAGTTGGTTCACACGTGGGCACACATTGTCATGTGTGTGCGTCCTCTAGGTGGTTGTGCTTTTGTGTACTTTATAGTACTGGATAGAGTACGGTAGTGCAATATCTTTATTTCAGCCCAGGATGTCCGGAAGTAAGCATAAAATCAGCAGTGATATAGTTGGTACTGTATAGCCAACTGTGTTAGTTGGGTACCTAGGCTAACTTTGCTGGACTTATGAACAAATTAGACTTACAAATGTACTCATAGAATGGAACTCAGTTGTATATAGGGGACCTACTGCAGTTAGGGATTGAAGGTGGTTTGGAGGTAGAGAGAGTGAATTTTCTTCTCAACAAGGCAGCAAGGAGCATCTTAGCCACTCTGTGGACCCACCTTAGTCCACTGGCTTAATCACCACCACTGATCACTCATAAATCTCTATCTTCAATCCATATTTCTCTCCTAAAAAAATAAAAGGTGGATAAGAGAAAGTTTCAAAAGAAAAATCTAAAGTTGTTCTCATATTTACAGCCACATTTGTGAAAATTTTATTTTACTTGGAAAAAATGAGCGTTGTTCTATAAGAGTAGTCTTTTACTATGTTATTATATTGACTTAATTCTGGCAAATATAAACTATACTAATGGTCGTCTTGATATGATTGCAGGTTGGTGGAGTCCAGATTCCAACTGGTATTGACTGCGAACCTCTGCTTTTAAATATTCTTCATCTAGACACAAGCAGTGAAGGAGAAAAGTGTCAGCAGGTGATAGAATCTCCACATGTCTTTCCATCTAATGCAGAAGTGGGCACTGTCCTCACAGCCTTAGCAATCCCAGCAGGTGTCATCTTCAAAAACAGTGCTGAATGTCCAGGTGAAGATAGCTGGACCGCCATTCCCAAAGAAGACATGAAGAGGACATTCAGGGAGCAAGGTCTCAGAAATGGAAGCTCAGTTTTAATTCAGGATCCTAATGATGATAACAGGTAACTTGCTAAAAAGAGAAAAGGAGAATTTTTTAAAGTTACTTTAATTACAGTAGCATCCAGTAGAACTCTAAAGCTTTATTTTAGTAAGATTTGAATATTTCTTTATTTCTAGACATTGTGTTCTAAATATTCTGGTTATGCACCCAAGAGAATAAAGTCACTTTTTGGTAAATGTGGTGACAAAATAATATAGATATCCCTGGTTTACTAAACTAGATATAGTCCAAATTAATTGACTATAAAACAAAATCCTGGGCAACCCCCTCGGGTCCCCTCCCACTGTAGGAGCTTTGCTGTCTTGTCAATAAATCCTGCTTTCTGGAAAAAAATCCTATCAAGTGAATTCTGATTAGTGCCAATTATAAAACCAATGGTACATTCTCACAAAGAAAATTCCTGAAATTTTTCTTGAAGAGGGCACTCAGATCATAGCTAAATTGTGTCTGGATATTTTATTATATTTTATTACAAGAGACCATAAGACAATTCAGTTTTTCCTTATAATCCTTTTGTGACTCCCAGTTGCCCAGATAATTGGGCAGTTACCTAGTGATTACCCCATGAATGCTGTAGTTACATTTGAAGCTCAGAAGTGCTGCGTCTCTCTTTTTTTGTCATCGATGCCTGTAACAGCACATTTCTGTAATCAATGTGCCTACACTATAACCCCCACCTTTCCATATATTGAAGACTTCAAGTCCTCTGCTTTCTGTGTTCTGCAAATCTCCTCTACATTGCTGTTGAGAATGACTGTGATGCAGAGAAACAGAGCACTTGAGGACTGTTTATTTGTATTATATTTGTCACTATTATTCTTTTGGACAAGGGTTTCCCAGACATGTATTTCCCTACCTTGTTTATAAGAAAGTTTATTATATATTCCTTTATAAAAGATAATATTCTTCATTAAAGATAATATTATTCTTGAAAGATAATATACATTTATTAGGACTTGGGAAATACAGAAATGAAGACAGAGAGACCCAGACCAGCATCATTCTACTGACCATGCAATGTGTCCATCACTGTTGACATCTGTTGGCTTTCTTTTTTTTCTAAACTAAAATTATTGGGTTTTTGTTATGTAGGTTTTCTTTCTTTTTAAACATAATAATGATTATTTTGTAGATAAATAGTTGTATTCTGCTTCCCACCCCCTACTCCCATTTGTAGACTCTTTATAAACCTCATTGATGGCTACATAGTAATCTAAATTGATGTGATAGTTTGCCTAACTGTATTCCTAGGTGAAGCATAGGATGTAGTGAGTAATGGAGAGGGCTCTGGAGCCAGCTGCCTGAGTTGTTTCCCAACTCTGCCACCTACTAACAGTGGGACCTTGAACAAATTATTTCATCTTCTTCTGTTCAGTTTCTTCATCTGTAAGATAGGGATAATATTTAGTGCCAACTTCATAGAGTTGAGAGGATTGAAAGAATCACGTGCTTACAAAGTATTTGCACACAGGAAATGCTAGATGTTTTAGCTAAGATCTTATAACTGTAATCATCATCATCCAGTTTTTCAATATTTTAAGGTAGTTGTCAGGGAACATCTTGTGCTTCAAACGTCGTCTTATTTATAATTGCTAGCTTAAGGTGGAATCTCAGGGTGGATTAATTGAAATAAAGAGTAGAAGTATGTTTTTGATCTCTGATACACACTCCCAAAGAGGACTTCTGCTAGCCCATTCAGTTCTTCTATATGATTTAGAAAGAAGGCGCCCCTTCCTTAAGACCCTTGACTATTATCTGTAGGAAAATTTTGCTAGAACAAAATATTCTACTGCCAGCTGCTATCATAAAACAAAACTCTATAAGAAAAATACACTTATGCCGGCGCCTTTGGGAGGCTGAGGTGAGTGGATTGCCTGAGCCCGTGGGTTCGAGACCCGCCTGGGGATCTTGGTGAGACCTCATCTCTACAATAAATCAAAAATTAGCCGGGCATGGTAGCACACGCCTGTAGTTCCAGCTACTTGGAAGGCTGAGGCGGAAGGATCGCCGGAGCCCAGCAGGTCGAGGCTGTGGTGGCCGGGATCGGCCTCTGCACTCCAGTCTGGGTGACAGAGTGAGACTCCAACTCAAAAAAAAAAAAATACACTTATGCATTATATATTATATGTGACACTTCTTAGATGTGGCACTTTTGTGCAGTATCAGTCTGCAAACTACAAGGCTGCCCTGTTGCTATCTAAATCTAAGTTTTGCAGGGGATACCTGGCAGGTACTCTTTTAAAGCTCCCTTAGTGATCCCAGCATGCAGGCAGAAGTTCACAACTAATTATTCATTTACAGTGGTTCTCTGTGAAAAATGTGGCAACAAATTATTTGTATAAATCAAAGAATATTTGGAGTCATGAATATAGACTCCATAGACTACCACCTAACATCACCCTAAAAAGATAGCCAACTTTCATGTTGAGAACTCAGTAGAACTTGATCACCTTTAATTAGTCATATTAAGGGACACATCCAGAGCTTTGGGAATGGTGCCTAAGGAAAAGTATTAATTTGTTTTTTCTTTTTACCTATAGTTTGTTGACCAAACAAGGGAAGTGGATCACTAGTATGAATGAGATTGACTGGCTTCAAGTTAAAAATTTGTGCCAGTTAGAATCTGAAGAGAAGCAAGTTAAAATATCAGCAACTATTAACACAGTAAGTGGATTATAATTAAAGTTTGGCTGATAGTTTTTCAGTTAATCGAATTTTATTCAGAAAGCAGTATCTTAATCTTTCAGAACTTAATAGACTTCTAATTCTTAAGAAATCAGTTTTTTATTTTTAACATTTGATTATGTTTGTTTACCTATATTGACCCTTGGCATATTTCAAGAAAATATGTTCCTGAAAATACATGCTTTTTCCTCCCTCCAAAGCCGAGAATTAGAATGTGTTTAGTCAATTCATGGAATCCTATGGCTCCCAGAAAATGCTTCCTTAAAAATGCTGTTTTCAAGTGTCTTTCCTGTATTTTTTAAACCAGGTATATATATTTTAGTTTTTTATTGTGGGTTTTTACTTTTTAAGTTTATCTTAAATTGCTCTACATTATACTCTATGTCCTATATAAAGCCAACTATTCTTAAAAGGAATTCCTTTAGTTTTTCATTTGAAGAGTATGATCCTGGTTTTCTGGAGTATTATCTCAGGAAACATCTTTTTATATTTTTGTTGCCCCAATTTATTGTGTTCTTTTTTCTGAAACAAATTTTTAAAAACTTACTAAAATGTTGTTTTCTTTTATATAAATATTGTAATTTCTTAAGATGTATTAATATTTATTGATACAGTAGAGGAAACAATATAAGATCAGTGCACTAAAGTTCAGGAGACCTAGTATCCCAACCTTAAATGAGAGACTTTGGTGAAATCTTTGTTTTTTCAGTCTGTTTCTTTTTGGCATAATGTGGGCTACTGATGGGAGAGTATATTATCTCTGACATCAATTTTACCCCTAAATTTCCAAGACATTGTACCCTAGAGGAAATTCACCTAAACTAAAAAAAAAAAAAAAATTAAATTGTGCTCTTGGATTGTTATTATACATTTTTATATTATTTATGCTCATTGGCCCCACATTCATTGTTCCTAGCATAGAGAGATGAGATTGCCTGTAGTTTCTTTTTTCTTTGCTTATCAGAAAGGTTAGTAGTTTATCAACTTATTGCCTTTCCATCTAGAATTGTTTCTTTTGATTTCTGTGTGTGTTTTCTGCCCTCAATTAACAACAGTTTGGTAAAAATTTAACTGTGAAGATCTAAGTTTTGTTTTTGACCTTATAAAAGAATTTCAGGGATGGAAAACATTTTTCAAGTAGGCAAAAACTACTGCATATCAGGTAACTCATATCTCAAATAATCTGTGCACACACTGACAGTCTTTATTTTCGTCTCCTCCCATTGTTTTCAAGTTATACACAGTCATTAGTTTATTTCTCTATTTTAGGTGGTGCTTGATATTCGAATTAAAGCCATAAAGGAATTAAAATTAATGAAGGAACTAGGTAATCATTTACATTTGCTTCTTGGTTTTTGGTTTAATTTAGTTTAGGTTTTTAATTGAAAAAATATGGGAGAATACAAAAAATAATTTAGGCAAAACTCACGTGCCTACCACCCAAAATGGACAAATGTCAACATTTTGTCATGTGTTTTTGTTTAAAACATTACAAATAAAGTGAAAGTCCTCTATGTTCTCCTCAGATGTATTCTCTCCCCCTCCCCAGTTGCAACCAATGTATCTGATCTGAGTGTATCTAGTCCATGTATTTATATTGTACTATGTATTATACTTACATATATTGCATATGTATATATTTTATATATGTGTGTGTATGTTTTATATATATATACACATACATACATATATACACACATACATAACTCTCTCTACACACACACACACACACACACACACATATATATGGGGGGGGTTTCTGTTTTGTTTTCATAGAGATGGAGTCTCACTCTGTCACTCAGGCTGGAGTACAGTGGCACAGTCGTAGCTTACTGCAGCCTCAAACTCCTGGGCTCAAGCAATCCTGCCACCTCAGCCTCCCAAGTAGCTGAGACCACAGGCACATGCCACCATGCCTGGCTGATTTTTATTTTCTGTGGAGACAGGGGTCTCACTGTGTTGCCTGATCCTGAACTCCTGGCCTAAAGCAATCCATCTGCCTTGTCCTCCCAAAGTACTGGGATTACAGGCGTAAGCCACTGTGCCCGGCCTTATATTTTTATATTTACATAAATTTTATCACATTGAGTATAATATTCTGCAAGTCACTATCCACTCAGCATTAGGTTGTCTTTAACAGCTTTATTGAGATATAATTTACATACCATAAAATTCACCCATTTTCAGTATATAATTCAGTGATTGTCGGTAAATGTAAAGTTGTTTAAACCTTTTTTTTATACCGTCAGTGAACAAATCATTGTTTTTGCACTTTAACGGCTGTTTACAAAAGAACAATATGCAACAGAGATCATATAGAGCCTAAAATATTTGCAGTGGAACCGAATAGAGAATCCAGAAATAGGTCCAAATATAGTTGACTTTCAACAAAGGTGTTAAGGTATTTCCATGGAGAAAGTATTTTCAACAAATAGTGCTGGATCATTTGGATATTCATTTGTGCAAAACTGAAGCTTGAGCTTTACTTCACCATTACCACAATCTAGTTTTAGAATACTTTCATCACTCCAGAAAGATCCCTGTACCCATTTGTATTCCCAGCCCCTACAACCACTAATCTACTTTCAATTTCTATAGACTTGATTTTCTGGACATTTTATATAAATGGAATCATATAATATGTAGTCTTTTGTGTCTAGTTTACTTCACTTAGCATACCATTTTTGAGGTTCATCCATGATTGAGCATGTATCAATTGTTTGTTCCTTTTTATTTTTGATTAGTGTCCCATTATGTGGATATATCACATTTTGTTTATCTTGGACAAACATGAGTTGATGGACGTTTGGATTATTTCTGCTTTTGGACTTGTATGAATAATGCTGCTATAAACACTTGCATATCAGTCTTTGTGTAGACATTTTTTTTTCAATTTTCTTGGGCAGATATATAGTATTGTAATTGCTGGGTCATATGGCAAATTTATATTCAACTTTATATGAAGCTGCCAAACTGTTTTCCAAAATGGCTGAACCATTTACATCATTACTAGTAGTGTGTCATGACTAGTTTCTACATATCCTTGCCAATATTTGATTATAGCCACTCTATGAATGTGAATTGATATCCCATTGTGTGTAAGTTTAGCAAGAACTCAAAATCAATATGTAGTTTGTATTTTCATCTATTAGCAACAAAAGAAATGAACATGAAAATTAAGAAAACATTTGTTTATAACAGTATAACATATCATGAAATACTTAGGGATAAGTTTTACAAAATATGTGTAAGACCTGTACACTGAAAACGAGAAAACGTTGCTGTATGATATCAAGACTTTCTCTGGATAGTTTGTATTGGTATACAAGTAGACATACAGAGTAGAGAGCAGCAAACTATCACCTGAAACCTTTTTTTTATACAGTCAGTGAACAAATAATTGTTTTTGCACTTTAACGGCTGTTTACAAAAGAACAATATGCAACAGAGATCATATAGAGCCTAAAATATTTGCAGTGGAACAGAATAGAGAATCCAGAAATAGGTCCAAATATAGTTGACTTTCAACAAAGGTGTTAAGGTATTTCCATGGAGAAAGTATTTTCAACAAATAGTGCTGGATCATTTGGATATTCATTTGTGCAAAACTGAAGCTTGAGCTTTACTTCACATTATGTAAAAAATTAACTCACATGGATTACAGAATTGAATGTCAACACCTGAAATTATAAAATTTCTAGGAGAAACATGAGAAAATCTTTAAACATAGGAAAGATTTTTTTTTTAAAGAGAAGACTCAAAAAAGCTAACTAAACTATATCAAAATGTAAAGCTTCTGCTCTTCAGAATGTGCTTGAAAGGCAAACCACAAACTGGTAGAAAATATTTATAAAACACATATTTGACAATGGACTTACATGCAGGATTTAATTAAAACTACTTCTACCCTATCAGAAAACAAACAAGCCAACCTTAATTGGTAAGAACGAACAAAAACTTTACAAAAGAAACCCTACGTACAAATGGCCAATAAGTACAGGGAAAGATATTTAGTATCGTTAGCCACCAAATTAAAAACACAATGACACACCATTGTGCACACAGTGGAATAATTAAAGTGTAGCATAATATAGTCACTTTGGGAAAGATAGCTTGTTGTTTATAAATTTAAACATTTACTGGTCAATTCTACTTCTAGATATTAACTGAAGAAAAGTTAAAACACATACCCTTACAGAGATTTAAAGGTTCATAACCAAAAACTGGAAGCAGTCAAATATCTGTGCACAGGTGAATGGATGAACAAATGGTGGTATTTCCAAACAATGAATATTCATCGTTGCTAGTTCCATCATACACAAAACATGGATGAATCTCAAAATCATATGCCACATGAAAAAAGGTGCATACAAAAGAGTATATACTATGTGATTCCACATAAATGAAATTTTGGAATTAGAACATCTAAGCTATAGAAGGCAGATCAGGATTGGCAGTGGGAGGGAGCTGCAGTGAGGGATTGCCTTAAAACTGGCATGGGGAGTTTTTTTGAAAATTTTATCTGTTTGCTGGTGGTTTCCAGGTGTTTATATATTTATCAAACTCTATGAACTGCACACTTAAACTAGATTTGTTTTTAAGAAATTATAACTCAGTAAAGTTCAATAAAAATCTGTGGTGTATTAACATGCATGGTTCGCTGTCTTCTCCTGTAACTAGTCTCCTGTCTTCCACTCTTGACCCCCTCTGAACCATTCTTTATATAGCAAGTGATCTTAAATACATGTGAATTAGATCATGTTACTCCTCTGCTCAAGGCCCTTTTGTGTTTTTTGTTGTACTTAGGCTAATTCCTTAGCCTGCCCTAGAAGAACCTGCATAATCTGACCACTAGCTGTGACCTCAGCTGCAATCCGCTTTTCTGCTTATTCACAACACATTTCCTATGCTGACTTCTGTGAGTTTCTCAGAGCAAACCTCTCTTCCATCCCTGAAACTTCTTAGTGCTGTGATCTCCCTTTAAACTCTCTTCCCTTCACTCTTTTTTTTTTTTTTTTTTTGAGTTGGAGTCTCACTCTGTCGCCCAGACTGGAGTGCAGTGGCCGCTCCTGGCCACCGCAGCCTCGATCTGCTGGGCTCCGGCGATCCTTCTGCCTTAGCCTTCCGAGTAGCCGGAATTACAGGCGTGCACTACCACGCCTGGCTAATTTTTTGATTTTATTGTAGAGATGAGGTCTCACCTGCCCAGGCGGGTCTTGAACTCGCGGGCCCAGGCAATCAGCCGTTCATTTGGTCTCACCTTTCTCCTTTCAGCCCTGACCATGTGATCTCAGTTCATCTCTCTGTTGTACTCTCCTAACACCCTGTACTTTTCCTTCATAGCACTTATTGCTGTAATTGCCTTTTTATTTGTGTCCTTAATATCCACTTCCCCCATTAGACAAGGTTCTGTGAGGATGAGTCCACACTGCCATGCTTATTATTGTATCACCAGCTTCTAGTGCAGTGCCCACCACACAGATGATACACAGTGTCTGTTGAGTGAAATTGAAAATATTTTAAGCAGCCAGTATTTAGAAAGGACTTTTTAAAATTGGGAACTCTTTTCATAAATTACTTCATTTGACAATAAATTTGTATTAGAATTATATACTAGCTTCATATTACTGTAGTATAAGATGTTGAATTCAGGAATCTCAAAGCGATTCTGCTGTAGTCTAATAAAAGTTAGAACTTCTAAGTAAGGCTCATGCCATTCTTGCCCATTCAGAAGGCTCGACACCCCCTCCTCCCAAGCACACATGCCCAGTGCATGTCCTACTTGTAAGAATTCTATTTGGACTAAATACTTATGTGCTCCTTCCCACAGACAGGAATCTGCATCCTCAAAAATAGTGCATGCTGGCCCTATTCCATATAGTAAGCATAAATCACCCAACATATTTTAAATATGGGCAGTTTGCCGAGTTCTGATATGCACAAATTTCACTTAACACGGTTTAGTTATATAATGTCAATCCCCCAGCAGCACAGGTCACATTTCAGCAACCATGATATATTAACTGACAGTAACTAAATAAGTACACATTGGCTTTTCAGTGCACAGATAATCATATACATAACAGATGTGCACTATGAGCAGTGACCAGTCACTTCTCTCTCAAGTCTTGTGGTTGGTCATTGCATATGCAGCTCAAAACACAGCAAAGTGTTTCGTTGTGTTGCCTTCTCTTCTTCCAGCCATAAACCCACATGACATTTATAAGACTGGATAATCGAAAAAAGGAATTGGCCAGCAAAAAAGAAAGTGCACAAAGAAACAAAAGCGTATGGAGTTATAGAAGCAGCAGCTGCCCATGGGAATGGACACTGCTGTCACTTGAGAGACTGGATATACAGCTGAGGAACTTGATGAAGGTGAACTTACCAACCTAAGTGAAGCTGAGATGGAAAGGAGGAAGACATCTCAATGGAAGTGACACTGTCCAAAAAAAAAAAAAAATTTTACATTTAAAGAGCTCTCAGAGATATTTCTTGAGATTGAAACCACAAAATATAAAATATTGGAATCTGATTTAAACTTGGAAAAGAGTATGGAAGTTTGCCACAGGATAGGAAAGATGCTCACTACATATCATAAGCCGTACAACAAGAGGAAGAAAACAAGCACATTCAGACTATGATATGTGTTTTAGAAAGACAAAACATTTTAATTCTCAGAGTTCGAGTGTTTTAAATTACAGTGTAAATATTAGTTTTATTTATTTTTTCTTTAATACATGTGTAACAGAGTTTTGAATGTTTTGACAAAAATTTTTAAAAGTCATGGAACAATTGTAATTTTTCCATTGAATATTAAAATTGTTTCACAGTTTCAGCTTGCAATTTTTGTCTTGCACTACTGTGCAAAGCAAAGAGTGCTTATACTTGTTTTTTTGTTTTTCTTTTTTGGTTGTTGGGATTATTTTGTTTTATTTTGTTAGCTTACTGTAGCTTTATGCTAATTAGAACAGTAGAGCATCTCTCTTTCATTTTTCTTTGTTTGATGCCCTAACCAGCTTCCTTTTATTTGTAGGTGACAACAGCTGTTTGAGACCTATTGATAGAAATGGGAAACTTCTTTGTCCAGGTAAATCTTTTTTATAGCTTTCAAAAGCTGGCATATACTCATACCATTGCTCTTTCTTGATACTTTTACTTTAAATAATGGCCTCTAATACCAATATTTTAAAATTACCTTTTAGAAACTGATTTATAGGACATATTTTCATCCAAGCATCTTACTCATGTATTATACAAAACCTTAACCAGAAACAGACACACTTCTGTTTTCTAAATGAAACACCTATTTTTCTGATTATTTGATCATTATTTTAGTTGCAGGTTTAATCTAGTTATATTTTTTTAACTTTATTTTCAAAGTTTTTCTTTTTTTTACTTTTATTTTTTATTTTGAATTGGAGTCTCACTCTGTCACCAAGACTGGAATGCAGTGGCTGCTCCCGGCCACCGCAGCCTTGACCTGCTGGGCTCCGGTGATCCTTCCGCCTCAGCCTTCCAAGTAGCTGGGACTACAGGCGCGCGCTACCACGCCCGGCTAGCTTTTTTTTTTTTTTTTTTGATTTATTGTGGAGATGAGGTCTTGCCAAGTTGCCCAGGCGGGTCTCGAACCCGCGGGCTCAGGCAATCCACTCGCCTCAGCCTCCCAAAGGCACAGGATTACAGGCTGAGCCACCGAGCCCAGCTTCAAAGTTTTTCTGTTTGCTAATTTTATTATGTTACCAGTTATGGAATAAAGTCTTTGGCGCTCACCTTTATACCCTCTTATCATTACATTTAATTTAGTTACAAATATGTCCAACTTGGAAGAAACGAGTCTGTCATTCATGGATCAGTTTGGGATATCTGGATTTTAGTCCTTATAAATAACAGCTCTTTGAATAAGTTATTTTTATTACAGAGGAAACTAGAACATTTATGTCTGCATCTTAGCATTGTTGTATAGGTAAATAATATATTCTAGAGTGTGAAAATTGAAAATCAAGCATAACCTTTGTGCATGTAATCCTTTTGCAGGAAGTGAAACTCATTTTTCTTCTTTCTTGATGTTCTTGATTTTCAAAGAAAGACTGATTTCAGTATATTATTTTTCTTATAGAGGTAGTAATTAATGACATTCATCATGTTATCAAAATTATTTATAGTACCAGACAGTTATACTTTGAAGGAAGCAGAATTGAAGATGGGGAGCTCATTGGGACTATGTCTTGGAAAAGCACCAACTTCCTCTCAGGTAAAATAGGTCACCTCTCAAAACAATTAACTCTTCCATAACCAGAATGTCTTAATTTTATAATTAGTACCCTAACTACTCTAGTAATACTGTTTTTCTCTAAAAGTTTTCTTCCTAAATGATACATTTTATTTGGGGAACATATAGTTCTCTGTGATTAAATATAAAATAATTGTGCCAAATCATGTTTATAAGTTTCTTTTTCTGTGAAAATTTTGTAGTTAAGAAGGATCTTTAAGGCTGGAGTGACCACCACTTCCAACCACCATATTTCATGAATTCTAAGATGCACCTCCACCACCCCCCATCTTAACATTTGGGAGATTAGGTTTCTTCTTACATTCAGGGGCATGCTACTGTTGCAGCTGGCACTAGGGTTTTTTGGTGTGTTTTTTGATGTTGTTTGTTTTTCTTTTTTAGTGGTACAGAAAATGAGTCTAACAGTCAGTGCATTTTACATTTAATGAAATACAGTGTATTGATTTTGGACTTAATTACTCTCTGCAATAGTCTCACAGTAGCCTCCCTTTCCCTTTGTCTTTATCAGTATTCATTCTCCGTATAAAATATCATCAGGTTGACCTTTGCCAAAAGCCTTGCCTAGCTAATAAAATTATTACAGTCCAAAAGCCATAATGATATTATTAATACCTTGCATCAGGGTAATCTGGACTCATATCAGGTTCCCCATGGGTCCTGAATTCACTTCATTTGTTTCCTAACTATGTCCCTTTTAATTTGCTTTCCTCTGAACTCTAGCAAATACTAGTGCAAGACAAGCTGACAGGAAGGAAAACATGACAAGGGAGGTTGAGTTAGAAAGGGAAAGAGGGGTGTCAGAAACTGAATGGACAAGAAAGCAGATTTATGTTTTTTCTTTGGGATCTTGGGAATTATAATATATGGAATCCGTAGGCAGAAAACAAAATCATAACCAAGTGACTCAGAGATAAAACACAGTTAATACTAACGGTGGTCGTAATTGCAGATTTCTTTTGGAAGTGATTGAGACAGAGATGGAGATTATGGTGGAAGAAATAGTATATGTGAGAGATGTCTATTAGGAGTAAAAAACAGTAATGATGAAGCGTTTTACATTTCTAGGTACGCAAAATTATTGTTTCAATTGTAACATTAAATTACTCAATATTTAATTTGAGATTTTAATTAAAGTTTCATGGGCCCTTGGCTTTACTTTTTGAAAGTAATACATTTATTGAATTTTTAAACTCAGATTAAATTACATTCATACTTTTGTCTTGATTTTAGCTGTTTATTTTTTTCGCAATGGGGAGTGATGTTCAACCTGGGACAGAGATGGAGATCATAGTAGAAGAAACAATATCTGTAAGAGATGTGAGTAATTTTACTTTTTGTTTTAGGAGTCTGTGTGTGTTTGGTACGGGGAGCTGTGGTTTCCTGTGTTAGGATTTGGAGGTCCTAAGGCTAGAATTTATATAATATACTTCAGAGGAATGTACTAACTAGGGGACTTATTTGGGGAACTCAAAAGTTGGTGAACCAACCAGAGTTTTTTTTTTTTGTTTGTTTGTTTGTTTTGTTTTTTTTTTTTGAGTTGGAGTCTCACTCTGTCAGCCAGACTGGAGTGCAGTGGCCGCTCCCGGCCACCGCAGCCTCGACCTGCTGGGCTCCGGCGATCCTTCCACCTCAGCCTTCCAAGTGGCCGGAATTACAGGCATGCACTACCACACCCGGCTGATTTTTTGATTTATTGTAGAGATGAGGTCTTGCTGCTCAGGCGGGTCTCGAACCCGCGGGCTCAGGCAGTCCACTCACCTCAGCCTCCCAAAGGCGCAGGATTACAGGCTGAGCCACCGAGCCCGGCTCCAACCAGAGTTTTTAAATAAGATTACTATAGTTTTTTATTTTCTGACTGTCAACAATACTTGTTTATTATAGAAATTAGGAATATGCAGAAATGGATTAAAAGAAAAAATGAAAACCCCTTATTATCCCTTATCCCACCAATATTAACATTTTGGCTTTTTTCCTAGTATTTACTTTATATACACACGTAGATGTATGAATGTTTGCTTATATGTGTGTGTGATAAAATAATTATGATGTGCTTATTGAGAACTGAGACTTTCAGTATTATAAAACAGAGACAGATAAAATCAATGTGGCTAATTAAAAGCCAGTACTCCTAATTTGAGTTAGAAGACTCTGAATGAGCTTCATATATTTTTTTCTTTAAACAATTTTATTTTCTGGCTCTGTCCCCTGACATAGCTTAGAAATAATGACTGCCAGGCTCAGTGGCTCAACTTGTAACCCCAGCAATTTGGGAGACCGAGACAAGTTGATTGCCTGAGGCTGCGGGTTCAAGATCAGCCCAGGCAACTTGGCAAGACCTCATCTCTACAATAAATCAAAAATTAGCCAGGCAGGGTAGTGCGTGCCTGCAGCTCTGGCTACTTGGAAGGCTGAGGCGGAAGAATCACCGGAGCCCAGCAGGTCGATGCTGGAGCAGCGGTAAGCATGCTACTGTACTCCAGCCTGGGTGACAGAGTGAGACTCCAACTCAAAAAAACCCCAAAACATTAATACAGATATAATGACCAACTTGGGAGCAACAAGCACCACTAACACCCAGATTATGGTTGCTAAATACTATTTTCTACTAAAAAGAACCAGGGCATTTTGGAATAACGGCCAGTTCTATATATAGGACAGGAAATGTGTAGGATGAGCCTGGAACATCTTGTTGTTACAGAAAGTAATAAACCTTCTAACAAAGACTATTGGAATTATCAGAAAGACTGAGAAGACTACTAGTCAAAGATGAGACACTTTGAATATTAATGAGACTAATTAAAATTAAGTGAAACACTCACAGAAAATCTGTGAGTTCATAATGATCCTAAAAGAAAATATTCTGAACCACAAAGGAAAAAAAAATCAAGCCTTTTTTTTTTCTGCTTTTCCTTTGCAAACTTTATCTCAGATACATCATAAACTGTATCTACCAAGTAGATAATCAGAAGTTTTTCTTTACAGACATATTCCAACTAATAAATGAAGAAGGAATTTTAGAATATCACAGTATTTCAACTCCTAATAAATAAATGGATCTAGGCAGTGTTCCTCAAAGACAGCTAACCCAATAAAGGGCAACAAACACTAAGACATTATAGAAGTTCAGAACAATATCCATGCCCTTCTTGCAAAAGAACAAAAAACTGGACCTGATTCTGATCAAACCTCTAGGTCTAACTACCAGTTTATAAGTAATATGGGAGACATAGGAACATGTTAAATGAACCACAGGTCTACAATCAGCAAAATCCAGATTGGAAAACTCTTCATCAACAAAAAAATTGCAGGGGTCAGGACAACCTATAGGTGCAAAGATGCTAAAAAGAAATAGCAACAAATTGCAATGAATGAACTGTATTTGGACCTTAATTCAAGCCAAAAGAACTTAAGTAATCATTTAAGAGAAAGTAGAAAAATTTGAACATTATCTGGATATTTGTTGTTATTTAGAAATTCTTAATTTTTTTAGATGTTATAATTATTTTAGGGTTTTGTTATTTAAAAGAATCCTTATCTTTTAGAGATGCATGCTAAACATTTACAAATGAAGTGATATATCTGGCATTTGCTTTAAAGGAATCTGAGGCAAGGACTGGGGAAGTGGTTGAGGGTATTGACAAACAAGATTGGCCATGGCAATAAAAGTTGAGCTTCCTAATCTGAAGATTCAGAATCTGAAACTTTATTTTTATTAAAAAAATTTTAATTGATACATTGTAATTGTACATATTTATGAGGTACATTTTGATGTTTTAGTACATATATTATGTAATAATCAAATCAAGGTATCTAATGTACTCAGCACTTTGTGCATTTATTATTTCTTTGTGGTGAGAACATTCAAAAGCTTCTCTTCTAGCTATTTTATAATATACACTACCTTACTGTTAACCATTGTCACTCTGCTATACAATAGAACATCAGAATTTATTCCTTCTATCTAATTGCAACTGTACCTATTGACATACTTCTCCCTACCTTTCCTTCTCTTCTCCCCTCTTAGTCTCTAGTAACCACTGTTCTATTCTCTGCTTTTATGATCACAACTCTTTTTTTAATAGATTCCACATATGAATGAAATCATGTAATATTAGTCTATGTCTGGCTTATTTCTTTTAATATGTCCTCCAGGCTCATCCATATTGTTACAAATGACAGGATTTTATTCTTTAATTTTATGCCTGAATGGTATTTCTTTGTTTCTATATACAATGTTTTATTTATTCATCCATGTTGGATGCTATATACATCTTGGCTATTGTAAATAATGTGTCAATAAACATGAAAATGCAGATAACTCTTTGATATACTGATTTAATTTCCTTTGGATATGTGCCCAGTAGTGGAATTGCTGAATCATATGGTAGTTTTGTTTAATTTTTTGAGGAAAAATGTTTCCATAATAACTGTACTAATTTACAATCTAACTAGCAGCACGTAAGAGTTATTTTTTTGCCATATCCTTGCCAACACATTTTCTTTTGTCTTTTTGATAATAGCCATTCTAACCAGAATGAGGTAGTATCTCATTGTGGTTTTGAACTGGATTTTCCTGATGATGTAGAGCATTTTTTTATGTACCTGTTGGCAATTTGTATGTCTTCTTTTTTTATTATGGTATCATTGGAATCTGTATTTTTTGAGAAATGTCTATTAAGGTTTTTTACTGATTTTTAAATCAGATTATTTGTTGTTTGTTTTTTGTTTAGTTTTTTAAGTTCTTTACATATCCTGGATATTAACCCTTTTCAGATATAGAGTTTGCAAATATTTTCTCCCGTTCTGTATTCTCTTATATCTCACTGAGTTTCTTAATAATCATTATTTTGAATTTCTCTTCAGGCATTTCATTAATATCCTTCTCTTTGGGGTCTGTTACTGGAGACACTGTGTTTCTTTGGTGGGGGCACCATTTTTCTTATGTCTCTGTGTTGATGTCCTCACATCTAGTGAAATTTTGATGGAGTAGTTTTCATAGCAAGAGGCTTTTTCCTATAGATGAGTCCTAGGGTGTCAGCTGCGAATGGTACATTGGCTTTGGTTCTGGGTGGTCTCAGGAGCATGGTCTCAGGAGCATGGTCTCAGATTCTTCAGCTATAATTATCATCAGCAATATCTGTGATTGCCTCAGTGGTCTAGGCTGCAGGTGTTTGTGGCAGAGATGGCACAGTTTTGCTGGAGGTTGGGGTGCTTCATTTGTTGTTGGGCCAGGTGCACATGAGCATGACTGTGTGTCGGTCTCCCCAGAGATGGTGGGGGTGGGTGTTTATGTCTTTCTATTCTGCTGGGCTCAGGTACATGGGGGCCAGGCAGCTGTGCAGCAGGGCTACCACTGGGTTGCAGAATCCAAAACTTTTTGAGTGCTTTTTGATGTGATGCTCAAAGGAGATGCTCATTGGAGCATTTCACATTTTGGATTAGATATGCTCATCTGGTAAGTATAATGCAAATATTCAAAATTTTAAAAATCCGAAACACTTTTGGTCCTAAGCATTTTAAGTAAGGGATACTCAATCTGTAATTGAGCCTGAGTGATAAGTACTTAAGGGTCGTTTGACTATTCCCTATATGTGTCTGAAATTTTCATGATAAAACATTTAAAAATATTTTTTAAACTTTTGTTATATGTTGTACATATTTTCCCAGGTTTTCATTGACCTTTTAATTTCACTGTTTTTTTTTAATTTCAAAGAGAGAAACCACAAAACTTTGCAAAATAATAATAACTATATATATATATTCCTTTCTGTATACTCTCTTAAACTTCTAGCAGTCAGGCTTGTTCCTTACTACTCCACTGAAACAGCTCATATCAAGGTCATCAGTGGCCTCCATATGCTGTGTCCAGTGAGCAGTTTTTCACGTCTTACCTGCTCTATCAGCAGCATTCAGCATAGTTGATAATGCTGTTCTTTGAAACACTTTTGTCACTTGGTTCCAGAAGATCACAGCTCTTCTAGTTTCCTTCCACCCCACTGTTCTACCCCTTCTCAATTTGCTATTGGGTAGAAGAGGAAGAAATAGAAAATTGAGAAGAGGTAGAACAGTGGGGTGGAAGGAAACTAGAAGAGCTGTGATCTTCTGGAACCAAGTGACAAAAGTGTTTCAAAGAACAGCATTATCAACTATGCTGAATGCTGCTGATAGAGCAGGTAAGACAAAGAGTAAAAAACTGCTCCACTTCTGAGACTGGACCTTGCCCCAGAACTCAGACTAGACCTTGTTCCTGAACATCCAGCTGCCACTTGATTGTCTAATGATCATCCCAACTTAGAACACATCTACAGGGAACTCCTGTTCTTCTCCCTGAAATATGCTGCACTCACATTTTTCTCTTCTTCAGTTAATGGTAGCTCCATTTTTCTACTTCCTCGGGCCAAAAATCATAAAGTCACTCTTCGTTCTTATCTGTCTGACTTTACATCCAGTTCTGCAGGGAACTGTTTTGGTTTTACCACCAAAATGCATCTAGGATATGACTACATCTTATTCCCTATACTGCTACCACCCTGTTGAAGCCATCGTCATCTCGCATCTGGATTATTGCAGCAGCTTCCTAACTGATCTCCTTCCTTACAGCCTTGCACTTCCCAGAGTCTTCTGTTCTTACAAAGAAGCTGAGTGATCCTTTAAAATGTGAGATGAGTCATAACTATAATCACAATCCTGTGGTTACCCTTTTCATCCAGAGTAAGAGCTGAAGCTTTGAATGACCTCATAAGAGGGTATGCAATCTGGCCCTCTGATATCTTTTTCTTTTCTTTTTCTTTCTTTTTTTTTCCCCCTCTGTTGCCCAGGGCACATTCACAGCCACTGAAGCCTCGACTTGCTGGGCTCAGATGATGATGCTTCTGTCTCAGCCTAGACAGAACTACAGGTTTGCACCACCATGCCTGGCTAATTTTTTTATTTATTGTAGAGATGAGGTCTCAAGTTGTCCAGGCTGGTCTCGAACCCCTGGGCTCAGGCAATCCTTTCACCTCCGCCTACTAAAATGCTGGAATTACCATGCCCAGCTCATTTTTGTTTTGTTCTCAAGCTTTCAAGTATTTCCCCTTCACTCTGCTCTAGTCACACCAGCCTCTTGCTGTTTCTGAAACAAGCAAGGTCTTTATGCTACTTTCTCCTACCTAGAACACAGTGAAGTTGATTGTGCCATTGTTTGTTTTTCTTGAATAATGAAAGCCTTTAAGACCACAGTTTTGTCTAAATACAACTTTTGGTCTCAGTCCCCATGTTTTAATATATTCTGTTCTCATCATCAATTGCCATCATGTCCTAAACAATCTATAATTATATTTTAAAGCCCTCTTTAATTTTCGGTGGGGGGGGGGAGCAGTTTGCCACCCCTACCTTGGTCACCACCCTATTCTGGTCCCTTTTCTAAGAAGTCACTGTTGTGACCAGACCGGATGATATAATCTTAGTCACATCAGTAGAGTGTGGGGTCCTCCCATTCCTTTGCCCATGCCTATGCCATGATGTGACTGTGTATGTACACATAGAAATTAAGGGCTAGATTTGTTTATGTGGTTTCATTTAAATAATAAATGGGGTCACACTGCATGTATTGTACTTGAACATGTCACCTAAAATATTTTAAAGATCAGTACATATAAATCTATTGTATTCTTTGATCTTTTCAAAGACATTTCCTAGTTTTTTAAAATGCTCCCTCATTAATGGCCATTTTGATTGTTTGACATTTTTCTCTTATTACAAACAGTACAACAGTGACTATCCTTATTTTTGTTCTAGTGTAGTAGAAATAAAATTATATTTAATTTTTTGCCCAAGATTTAGTTAAGAATATTTTTTCATCAAAAAGTTAGGTGCTAGTCGGGCTCAGTGACTCAGCCTGTAATCCCACGCTTTGGGAGGCTGAGGTGAGTGGATTGCTTGAGCCCGTGGGTTCAAGACCCGCCTGGGCAACTTGACAAGACCTCATCTCTACAATAAA